GTAACGATTCTGTGTCCCTGAGTAACGATTCTGTGTCCCTGAGTAACGATTCTGTGTCCCTGAGTAACAATTCTGTGTCTGTCCCTGAGTAACGATTCTGTGTCCCTGAGTAACGATTCTGTGTCCCTGAGTAACGATTCTGTGTCCCTCAGTAACGATTCTGTGTCCCTCAGTAACGATTCTGTGTCCCTCAGTAACGATTCTGTGTCCCTGAGTAACGATTCTGTGTCCCTGAGTAACAATTCTGTGTCCCTGAGTAACGATTCTGTGTCCCTCAGTAACGATTCTGTGTCCCTCAGTAACGATTCTGTGTCCCTGAGTAACGATTCTGTGTCCCTGAGTAACGATTCTGTGTCCCTGAGTAACAATTCTGTGTCCCTGAGTAACGATTCTGTGTCCCTGAGTAACGATTCTGTGTCCCTGAGTAACAATTCTGTGTCCTTGAGTAACAATTCTGTGTCTGTCCCTGAGTAACGATTCTGTGTCCCTGAGTAACAATTCTGTTTCTTCCTGAGTAAAAATTCTGTGTCCCTGAGTAACGATTCTGTGTCCCTGAGTAACGATTCTGTGTCCCTGAGTAACGATTCTGTGGCCCTAAAGTCTCTGTAGCCCTAACTCTGTCCCTAATACAGACAGGTCTGTCTCTCTTGAATGACCGGGCTAATGGCTAATGGAGAATTCTAAGATGGCCGCGATTTATAGCTCCACCATTACACAGTGCTGGCTGGCTGGCTGCTGATTGGCTAATGCGATCACATGTCATGAATGAATGCATTATGGGTCAGCGCGCCTTGTCTGCGCGCCTTCCCAGAGATCCCCGCTCCGTCGCCACACATGTCGCCGCCATTTTTGGGAAAATTCGATTCGTGCATCCGAAGTTTGCTAATTTTCGGATTCGGCGCGAATCGAATTTTTCCTAATATTCGAAACGAATTCCACTTCGTCATGTTCGATTCGCTCATCTCTACTTATAGTGTATAACAGTATAGTGTATAGGGGTGTAAAATTGGCCAGGTAAAGAAGGGGGTATAAGTGCCCGGTAGGCAAGTGGTTAATAGTCACCGTGGGTCTGAGAAAAGGGAAGACTGGCTGGTGTTCTGAAGAGCTTGTCCAACTGTTGCTACTGCATGGGACCTTGCTCCGTTTCTGCCATTTTTGGATTGCCATAGTCTGCTGTAACAGGCTTGTACCTGAGGACCTTCGCCCTGCTACTACTACTACTACTGATAAAATGGACTTTGAGCACGCCTAAATACTTGTTGCTGCAATCTATAGAGAAGTCTGTTATCTGCTTTCAGCCAGGACTTCAACAGTGCTTAACTAAGAGACCAGCTAGATGTCTATAGTGAGTAGTTCTAAGCAGGGGCGGACTGACAACTCATGGGGCCCCCGGGCAATAGGGGATCATGGGGCCCTGTGTCCTTGCCCAAACCCAAAAAAGCCTATGAAAAAGGTACCACGGGCATCTCATGGGGCCCCCTACTGGCCCTTGGGCAGTGCCCGAGTTTCCAAATGGTCAGTCCACCCCTGGTTGGAAGTTCAACAAAGGAACATCTGGTTTGGAAATGCATGTCAAGTTTGGCAGGAGAGTTACAGTGGTTCACACACCTTGTCACGATGCTTCAAGCACAGTAAAGGAAAATTGGGTGACACTGTAAAAAGGGATGACTCCAGTTAAAGATATAGAGATGGCTGTGTTTCTAAGTAGGCATCTTAACAGGGCAGCAGCTTGGGTGTCACTATAAGGGTTTTCAGACGTTTTCTGGATACCTTGCCAGTTGCAGGTCATTCCTTGTGCTGCTAACAATTTAAGATCAACCAGGTAGCCTCCAGAGGTAGTTTTGTGAAAAGAGATACTTTTTTGGGATTTGTCATAGACACAATGATGATGGAATGCTGTTTACCTCTGGACAAGCTTCCAGATCCGCATGAAGCAACTTCTGCTAATCTTGGACAACCTGTACAAACTTTGATCGTTGGCATACAAGGTGCTGGTATTTCGGGTGGCCTTTGCGTTGGCCATCTTTGATGTCCTGCGGGTTGGTAAGCCATAACAAGCAGGGAACTGGTTTTTTGAGAGTGACAGGGATGTTCAGTCATGATATAATAGGGTATGTATATGGCTTTGGAGATCAAAGACAGATCTCTTGGCTCCTGCTGCTGTCAATCACAGCCAGTGAGGAGGGAGCAGGAGGCAGGGCTGAGCCACGCTCTGTGTGTCTTATGGACACACAGAGCTGGCTCAGGAGCAAGCACGCATGAGTGTCCCCAAACAACTTGCTATGAGGGCATTTGGCAAGGTGAAGGGACCAGGAGCGCCAGCAGGGGACTTGAGAAGAGGAGGATCGGGGCTTCTCTGTCCAAAACCATTTCACAGAGCAGGTAAGTATAACACTTTTTATTTTACATTTTACCTTTACAATAACTTTAAATTCATTTTACACTCCCAGAATGGAATTGAAGGCTACTTTGGCCAGGCATTCAACCGTCACTTTCCTTTTCACACTGGAGCTGTCTGCATCTGTGGATGCCATAGGAGGCTGTGGGTTATTGCTGTGAACGCTGTTTATGCTGGTGTCGGCTCGGACACCAGTCTTTGTAAGTGCGATGAGTGATTTTAAATAAATTCCTTTTTTTACATTGCTACACTATGAGTTTCTCCTCTCTTGCTTTCTGAGTGCTATTCCAGAGTTATGAAGAAGGGTGTGCCATATTGAATTGTCCCATATATGCTGAGGTTCATCTGCAGACCATTGCTCCCAGAGCACAAGCGCTTACGCTGGTTTATAATTTGACCAGCATATTGCTCTGGTGAGTTTATTCAATCTATTTGGTGGTGGATTTGTGCACGGTGGTTTTGTGTTTTCACATGAAGATTTTTTGGATTAGAAGATTTTGTTTATTGATACAGATATTTTTTGGTGTTGGACATTTGCACATTGTATTTGACACAATTAAGGATTTTGTTTATATAATAATTTTTATTAAGTTATATATTAAGCAATATTTTTTATAATTTGTGCGGGATTATTAGCGCAAACCTGTTTTTTATTTTTATACAGTAGGAAAATGTACATTTACATGGGGACCCAAGTGTTACCTGGACAACAGTTGTGAAAGTGTATGTTCATCTCTAAAAATAAATAGAGGTCACTTCAAGATCGAGTATTCCCTGATGGCAACCTCAGCCTTGTTCCAGGGCATTGGTGAAAACGGCACTAAAGCAAAGGTACCCCATGTGTGTGAGGTAAAGAGAGAGTGACCCTGTCCTAGGTGCCTTTCCGTAGTGCAAAAGTACCCACCCTGGGGTTGGCCTCACATGTGACATTTGCTTGGGGCCCAATGAGGAGGGAAACATAGAGGACGTAACAAACAACTACCATCCTACCCCCTTACATACTGTTCATCTCTTTTGCAATATATTCCTTGCTATAGTTTTATTGCTGTTGTTTCAGATTTCTTTTGCTACCAGGGTACTGCATATACCTCTGCAATGAATATTCCCCATGTATGTGATACCTGTCCTGCTCTGCTCCAATCAGCAGAGGATCAACTCACAGTAATATTAGCCATATTAAAATGTGAATTTGTTAATTTACCACCAAAGCCTGTGGGTGGAATTCTTCTATAATACATTGAGTAATGTTACTAAGCAAACCCTCTTCTTTTCCATGTGGTGGGATCAGTCTCTAATGACCTGATTCCTGACCCAACTCTGGGAGAGACATGTGGTGAAAATTGAGTTTATTTCCGGCTATAAAGCTTCACAGCCACAAAGCTCAGAGGAGAACGGAGGCTCTTTTGGAGAGGAAGAAGCTTGTTTTAACCCAGACATCTGGAAACAGTTGTGTTTAACACTCACAGGGGCTAACTGTGCCCCATAAACTGAAGAAAGACACATATACCCTGGAGACCCTACAGTGAAGCAGCCGTATCTGATAAACTACTACTATATGTATAGACGTTTACCAGAGTTCTATAAAGATTTTTTCAGATGTTCCCCTAAAGTTTGTCCTTGTAAATAAAATAGATTAGAATTTAGATTTCTTCTGTGCAGGTAAAACGAAGTGCTGACTAATGTTCAGGTTTCATCGCATTTCTGAGGCCAGATTTTTACTTTATCTTTGCCCCTAAAAGGCCCACTTTTGTATCTGGATATAATCCGCGCACATCATGCACCCATTGGAGTCTTTAATGTGGACTCATAACCTTTATGAAGACTGCTTCCCCTCCTACCTAAAGCCCAAAACAGCCATGGCTGGATAATAATGTCCTTTTCCCCTAGGCCAACTGTCTTGTGCTCTCACTAAGTCCCCTAGCGACCCTTAGTATCACACAGCTTTTCTCAACCAGGGTTCCATGGTACCTCTAGTGTTCCTCCAGAGGTTTCTAGGGGTTCCATGAGCAATATGCAACATCTGCCTCTCTGATAAGTTCTCACTGATACCAATTATCTTTTTAGCTATCTGTAAAGAGGAAAGCCTTCTCAATGACCACAACGGTAGGGAACATTCTTCTCAGTGACCACCACACTAATGCACTGTAAGCTGTAGAGACAATAATTACCAGCAGGGTTTTCTGAGCCTGGAAAGTTATTTAAGGGATTCTTCCATTTTAAAAGGTTGAGAAAGTCTGCCTTAACCCAATCAGGTGCCATAACCACACAAGGCATGCCGAGGATTAGGATCAGAAAGGCTGAAATAGAGAGTTTTTTTCTCTAGAACCGATAACTCAAAAAAAAATACTGTTGTATGTACTGCCTTGTGTTCTAGCAGTTAAGTTCCAGGCGAATTAACAAAAAATGCGTGAACTTGTCAGGGCTCCCGGTAAGACCAGAGATGTGTGTGAACTGACACAGGGAAACGCAGGCTCAAGTATGGTGTAACAATATAATTTTTTAAAGGTTATACACAAATATAAACGCACAATATAACAAAACCAAACCTCCAACTGATAACGGAATGTACACAGACAAGAGCAGTCAGGGCTGGTGAGGTGGAGTGGTCAGGCAGGCCGGGTCAGGAACCATCGGGCAGACAAGACACAAAGGAGCAGGCAGAGCGTAGTCAGACGGGCCGGGTCAGGAACAATCAGGAAGACAAGGTACCAAAGGAGCAGGCTGGAGAGTGGTCAGGAATAGCCGGGGTCAGGACAGGCGGAGTTCATTCAGAGTCAGGATCAAAGCAGAATCAGGAATCAGGCAGGAAGCAGACAGGATGCAGGTACAGGGGCTCATGGGAAACATACACCAAGGCACTGACTGCAGGTCTGGCCATTCCTTAAATACACCTCCTGCAATCAGCCTCAGGTGATGGCTGACTGCAGGAGTGAGCTTCTGGTTGCTGAGAGCACCCGCTGGCCAGCCCTGGTACTGCAGCCCACACGGCAGATGAGTCCCACCACCTTTGGTGAGTCCATTCCTGACAGAACTATAAGTACAAGATATACTATACCACCATTTAAAATGCTTAAACTGTACAGGGACAGCAAAAATGAGGACCTAGTCACCATAAACTGATAGGACAAAAAGCCCTTCTCAGTCTTTGTAGGGGAATCTTTCATCATTCCTGGATAAGAGAGTCATCCATGCAGATGGAAAGAAGAGCAATGCCATTTTTCTTAACATGCGAGCCAAATGCCTGCCAGGGGTACTTGTGTAGCACTACCCTCTTGGGGGTTGCTAAGGATTTGGGTTCCCCTATAGTCCTGCACAGCCAGGCAATCAGCATTCTCCATACAAGCTTGCATGCAGAGTCAGGAATCAGTCCTTGAGCTTTGTTTTTAAGATTTATTAAGGGGATTTAGAACTGGGATAGGATAAGGGGGGTATAGGATGCCCAAGGGAACTGGCAACTGAGGACAATCTTCCTGGAACTATTCACAAGCTTTTTCTGCAGCACAATCTATGTTGGAGAGCTAGCCAGCATCTCCTTCATATACCACCGCAGACCCTGGATGAAATGCTCCTCTTCACCCAGCAATCTGAAGGTATCCCTGAGCAGGGGATCCAGATCCTGTCCTTTTAAATAGGTGATCAGTCACTAGTAGGGGGCTAATCTGGTTTATCACAAGAGTGCTCCTTCCCCTATCTGCCCAGGGGGTGCAGGTGTACTCACTCAGATCCTCTCCTGTACTGCTTGTGGGTTGGCTGCTGCTACCAGGCCTATCAGGTGGGCTGCTCCTTCCTTGCCATACAGGTGGTCTTCTCTCAGGGGGCCAATGAGTTCCAAGCTTTTCGCCTTTCCAGCTCCAGGTTCACAGGCAGGCCCCATCCCACTGGGGCTCCCCGCAGCCTCCTTCCTCAACCTCACATTTTCCTCTTTTACTCTTCCATCAGACTCTCCTGCCACTGAGCAGGCTCCAATGCTTTCTAATGGTGTCCAGCCCCTTGCCAACCTCTTCTTGGGGATTGGCTAGGACCCCTCAAGAGTGCAGCCAGCCACTCCTCAGATCCACCCACTGTCTCTAAGTTCTTCCTCCAAAGGCCTTAGAGCAGGGGGAATCCAGAGGGTCTGGCCTGCAGAGCCTCTCAGCCCTGACCACAATTTGACCCCTCTTTGGCTATTGCACCTGGGCTGCTGCTCAGCCCCTGGCTAAACATTGGAGTCTAGCTACCCCTAGCTAAACTTGTAAGTATTATAGGAGCGTATCTAATCCCAAGAACAAAAATGTAACACATTACAGATTGTCTTCAGATGTGGTTGTTGAAAAAGTTTTTTTTTTTTTCATGCTCTTCTTTATTTTTACCTGCTGATCGTGCCAGTAACACACTTCCTGCCCTAGGGTAACAATGTTAACTCAATGTGCTGTATTTATGCAGAAGCAGCATTGCCACCCTGGGACAGGAAGTGTATTAGGTCTAAAGAACACCCTCAAACCCCCCCCCCTTTCTCCTTATCTCTCCATAACAAAGGGGGGTCTGCAGTCTACAAAAGTGAAGCAGATTTCAGTTCAACACGCAAACAGTTACGAGGACACTGGATTGCTGACCGCATTAACAGTTATTTTTCTGTGTGGGTCCTCAGGCCTGCCCTGAAGTCTAGGGGGAGGATGTGTGGCCTTTTGGTTCCTTCCTCCCCTGTCCCTAGGGGGTTTTCTCTTCGGGAGAGCCCCCTGACCAAGTACTGGGTGTCTGGCTTCGGCTGGACATAAGGAACGGTGGTCCACCAGGCCTTTTGGCCAGGAGGACCAAATGGGAACCTTGTCCCTGTCAGGAGCTTCGTGCCCCGGGGGATCAGGGTAGTGGTCCATCCCCTTCGGGGGAAGGACAAAGCACACCCCTAAGTGCACTTTTTCGTGTGGTGTTTTGCACTTGCACTTTTTTTGTGAACACTTACGGGTTTTTTGTTATAGTTGCACGTTTGCGGACTTTTAAAGAAAAAAAAAAAACAGTTATTTTTCTGTACTTGAGAAAGCACTTAGTCCCCTCAAAAAATATATTGAACTATTCTATATTCGTATACCTATTTCAAAGCCCAATCCTCTTTTTCCTCTGGTGGGGGGGGGGGGGTGATATTCTGATGATGCCACCCTAGGTAGCTGGTACTTGACGGCCTGGATTCAGATGAAGTGGATTTAGTGATGCTGGCTGTCATTGGATCCAAAACACTGAGGACACCAAGTGGCGTTAAAGAAGTACTTCAAAAAACAGCTCCAGACTGAAGCTAAGTATTGCAGGAATGGCTGCTTTGTTGTTATTAACATTACTGGGCTAATTACTTATTTTTTAACAGAATTTTAGCTTTAAACTCTATAGTTCCAAGGGCAGGGAGTTACTGAACACTCAATAAGAAGTGCTATTAAGGAGAGCCAGAAGGTGGGAACAAGTGAATATCATCTGCTTTTCTGAAGGTTTGTAAAACAGCCAAGTGGAATGTAGGAGTCCCCAGCATAGGCTGATGTTGATTAACAAAATCCTTTAATGTATATTTTTTTCATATACATTTTTTTAGCACATATTGTTTCAGAACATTGAAAAGATACCTCTCAGACAGGGTTGGATAGATAACATGACCGGGATGGACCCGTTTGCATGAACTCTTTTTCTGGCTGGGATTTACGCATATATATTTTGAATACTACTGCCAAATTCGACATCCTGTCTCAGCAATTCTAGGAATATTTGTAGTGTTCTGCTCTCCAGAAGGAAAGATTTTCCTCCTGATGGACTGATAGGCTGATGTTTGATACTCCGTATCAAGGGACAAAACTCTGCAGATAAAAGCACTTGTTTACTCTAATAGTATATGGATAGCTGTGGGTTTCAGCTTATCTATCCTAAAGTAATGAGAATTGCATACCAATGAGTCTGACAAAGTTTTTAAAACTGCATTTTCTTTCTTAAAAGAAAACCGGCCGTGTCTTTTCATAGAGTAAACATTAAAGAGGAATTGCAGTCATTAAAATACTGGTAGCTGCTGACTTTTAAGAAACAGACACTTAACAGCCCAGAAGCCCAGCACTGTCTTCACCTAAGCCAGTTCTTCACCAGTTTTCAGATCACCCTGTGCTGTCAGATTGGTCAAGCAGCCTCCTGGGACATGTGACATGAAGTTGTGAGTGGGGGGGCCAAAAGTGAGAATTGCAGAAGGGGAAGCAGGTACCTGTCAAAAAGAGGTACCTGCTTCCAAACAAAAAAGGTTTCAAATATGTTATTGGAGAGGGAAGAGATGGATTAGAGGTACTTTCACTTTTAAGTGAAGGTCCAGTTCCACCAATGCCAATACCAATTCCTTGGTTGTCATAGTTATTCTGTGACTTCAATACTTTTAATAGTCCCTGACTCGGAATGAGTATGCAGATTAGGAATTGCAACAACTCTTTCCAGGAATGCCAGTCGGAAAGTAGCAATTCCACAAGCAAAAGCAGGTCTCTTTTTAAACTCAGATCAGGTTTCCTGATAGCATGAACATGAGCTCCAGTTGAACATTGCCAGTTTATGTTCTCCTTACTACCATCATTAAAGGCTCCATATTGCTGGTGTTTTATAAATCAACCCCGGCATTGACTAGATAGCAAGGACATCAGTGAAGGAGGAGGATAGTCTTAGAGCTGGTCAGCAAGCAGTACGGTGCTTGGTGAACAGCCAAATTTACAGCATCTCACAGGAATCAAAGTAGGGATGAGCTTTGGATTAAATGTGAGTTCAACCCAAACCTGTTCGTGGTTCAGCAAACCACTAAGCCAATTGGCCATTTCTTCTAGGCTGTGAACAAAACAGCAAGGGATCATAGATGACATCATTGCCAAATCATGATTGTGACTATATTTGGTTAACAATGTCATCCAGGATCCCCAGTGCTATTGGCTACATGCATGTGACGGGTCTAGTGGTAGCAGAACTACATTGCCAGGAGCAGGGAAACATCAATGGGTACACATGTTTGAGGCTGGATTTACTTCGCTGGCCGATGAGATTGATGATGGATTGATATTGGGGGACATTATGTTCATTTTGAAGTGTGTATTTTTATTAAATGACACAGTGTGGGTGTCTTGTTTTAATTTAATTGAATTGGAAAGGGATACTAATATACCCCTGTACTCATTCACCTAGAGTGGGGCAGGATATCTGAAGCCCCCCCTTAATGTTAAGGGGCTTCCAGATTCCTATACGTTCTCCCAACAAACCCCCATAGTTTCTTTGAGCATCAGATTTGTTAAAAAGGCCCATGTACCCTCAGCATGGGGGACAAAATTCCTTTCAAGGGGAGAAACTGTACAGTTTCCTCTTGCAATGTACCCTCCCAATGTTGACAGGCATGTAACCTGGTGTGCATCAGATAGGGGGTTGCACGCTTTCTCCCACTTTCTAGCCACCCAGGTTGCATGCCTTGGTAAGAATTCTACACTATTATTTCCTATTTTTTTAAACCTGTACTGTTCCTTTGATATAGTTTTCCCCCCTAAAATTCAAATCAAACCCTTGTATAACTACTTTAAAGGTCGATGTTAAAGTGAACCTTTTGCTTTGCCCTGGATAAGCAAGCTATGTGTTCACTTTAAAGAATCATTTTGCTAAGCACATTTGTATCTAACCAAGCCTCATTATTTACGGTGTCCTCATGTCTCTCACTGTATAGGAAAATATGGTGAGGTTTCAATTTCTTGAAACCATGACGCTGCTTCGGTACCTGGGGGTAGATGTACCTCACCTTTGTGATACTTTCCTTTTCTTTCATCATTACTTCCTTTCTCTGATTTAGTGCCCTATAACTTCCTCCTCTGCTCTGTTTCCACTTCCTTTAACTCTTGTGTATGTCTGTGTTTTTTCACTACTTGTTCTACAAAACTGTTTACCGGGGATGTGTATCGTATACACAGAAGGTGTAGGATGTAGTTGGCTGACCACTGTGCTGAAAAACCCACGTTCACCTTATCATATTCCACACATAAAATGTATGTGCTGTGCATTCTTAATTTTCTGAACTATGGAGAGGCAGAAGAGCATGCATTGACTGACAGTCACCGCTCTCTGCTCCGAGAAGACTGAGAACTGAGTGATCAGCAGTCATG